TTATATGCAAATTAACTAAATTGTTTAATTATACTAATTTAAGACAAGATACTTACATCAATCACAATTGCATGTGTGATAAAAGGACCATTCTACAAATAAATAAGAAAAGTAAGGGCATTTTTGTAAAAGAAATAAGACATTTACCTCTCGGTGAAAGATATAGAGGGAGAATCCCTCAATAAGGGTCGTGCACTGTGGTATAAGCATCATGATACAAAAAGAAAATTCTCCCTTTTGTGCCATATTCCATAGTTGACACACATGTGCTGTGGCACACATTGTCTTATTAGCTATTGATAAAATTAGACAAAGAAATCAAACTTCAACCTGCCATAACTTTTCACACATAATTTTGAGTTGAGAGATTCCAAGTGTTCTCATAAAGAATATTTTAAAATCTAGCTAATGGCTTTGGTTTGGTATACAAATTCTTCTAGACGAGGATTTTATCCATTAAAACACATTAAGAGGTAAAGCACCACTTTTCAATAATTTAACGTCTCACAAATCAAAACCAAAGCCTCTTGTCATTATATGGAACATTTAACTAACTCAAATACATTTCAAGCAACAATTCTACCATATCAAATTGGCATATGTATTCAAAAATCCCACAGTTAAGTTGTATAAGAAGTGTAATAACATAGGCAATGTAAATACTTTTCCTCTCATAACACTAAATTAATGATATTAACATGTCAAAAGGGTATAACAGTCTCAAAAAATACTCCATGGCAATCATATAGGAAGTTAACCAAAGGTATGAGAGTTACATGATTATTTACAAAATAAATGTCCTAAGGTTGGCAGTTACACATAAATTAATCAAAAGAAGGCTGACAAGGCCTAATAGTGTCTACTCACATCAAGCTACGCTTCTGGTACTTCTCTAACTGAACTTTTCCTTGAAAAAATGTAACTATAAGGAGTGAGACACAAATGTCTTAGTAATCAAAATTAATATGCAATGATACATGTGATGTAATTTACTATGCATTGGTAAGTGGGTATATTAAAACATGTTTTCAAACATAAAATATTCAAATAATCTGAACAAAATGAATGACCACACCTTATATCCCTTCAAACATCATGCTCATAGCTAATAAACCCAACCAAAAGTAAGTTGGTCCAAGTTAATTGCCATTCATTGGGTCCAACAAAAGCATATCATGCGGTATGTGATCTTCGAACAAAAATCCTTGACACATATCGTTCCCAACAAGTCATGCATATTAAAGCATATATGAATAAGAAAAACATATCCAAATTCTTTTTCATGTTTTTGAACACAAAATTTCATAACAAGCATTATATATATATAGGGTTAAAATATATTTTTGTCTTTGTACTTTTTTTAAAGAGTATTGGACACTTTGTGCTAGTAAGTGAGACTTTTTCCCCTAAATCATTTTTTAGATAAGCAAAAATCTCCCTTTATTAGTCATTTGTTAACGAAGGGGGATTTTTGTTCTTTTGAACAATGATTTAAGAAAAAAATGACCTATTTATTAGTACAAGGTGCCCTGCACTTCTTGAATAAAAATATTAGTGTAAATAATTTCCAAAATATTGAACATGTTTTTCACATACAATTTAGTTTCCAAACACATAAAAACCACACATAGAAATCACAAAAAACGTAAATTCACATATTAATAATGGTTATATCCGCTCCTCGTTGTTTAAGTAAGCAAACCTTCACCGCCAGCAATGTTTTTACCACAATCTACATATAATGTAATACTAATTATAGTTAATAAAATACTAGTTAACACTAATCAAAGTTCAATACCTTAATCACACCTTAAACCTAGGGTTATATTAATTAATCTACTTAACCCATAGCTATTCCAACTATTTAATCTCTCAAATAAACATTGTTACACTTATATTATCCTTATTTAACCTTAATAACACCCAAATCATCATCACAATTCTCTTACCAAGCCTAAGGTTTTGGATTTAACCTTCTTGTTACCTTAAACGACCTTAAAATCATCTAAATAACACTTATATATATATATATATATATATATTAAAACACTCATTTAGTTTGGACCGAAGAGTTGGAGTTGCTCAAACTTGAAACCTTAAGCTCAAACACCATTTAAGCACGTTAAAAGAGAGGAGTGGAAGTTAGGAATGAGATTAGGTAGGTTACCTTAAGTGATTTGAGACTCAAAATCATGCTTTAGGTTTAGAAACTCCCAAACCCTAGCAAAACCACCGAAAATCACCTCAACACCCTTAAAAATCTCTCCTTCCTACGTAAATTTTGTGTTGTGCACCATGGCACATGACAAAAAAATAAGGCACTTCATTTAATCTTACCATTTAGGCCAAATTCAGCCTAATATCTATTTTGAACCCTAATTAATTCAATTAGATCATCCTAGGCCTAATTCAAACATAACTAAGTGCCCAAAACATGCGTTTATCCTCAAATAACCTTAATTACCAATTTATTCTTCAATCAAATCTCAAAATAATATCAACCTAATTTTATCACCTCAATCAAACCTCAATATTTCTATAATTAAATAATATCCTAAAAACTAGGATGTTATATATTACAATCTCTTAAAAAAGTTGAAAAAGGTTAAGAAAAAAATATAACTAATTTTAAATTGTCATGTTTTTCTAAAGTTACTTGCCCTGTAATTATTCAAACATTGTAAAATAATAACTAATGCATATATTTTTTTAGATGATCAATTACTAATACATATATGTGTGTACGCATATGTACTATAAAATTCATAAAATTATATTATTTATATGTGATACGGTGTTTTAAAAATTAGACTAGATGATAAACTGAAAATGTTAAAGGAACATGGTTCTCATTGTTTAACCGGTTCAACCAGTGGTCCAATTGATGACAGAATAATTAAATAAAAATAATATTTAAATTAAAAAATGGGTCAAAATGATCCAACAGTTTTGAATCCTTAATTTTTCTTTGGGTTTTCAAGAACCACTCGGGTTAAAGCAGACAAACTCGATTTAATTACCAGGATAGGCCAAATTGTTAAATTATACCGCTCTTTTCTCTGAATGATGGTTCGACTATAGGGGTTGGTTCAAGCTAGAAAACACTAAAGTGATTGATACCATGTACCAGGGAATAGGGTGTCTCCATTTTCCTCCATTTCTCTCCCATCACCCTTGGATAAAAAATTTAACGATTCAGGTTGAAGCTTTGATAAAATTATTATCTTATTTATACAAAGATATATAAATAAATTTAAATGATTAAAGTTTAATCTAAATCATATAAAATTATAATATTTTATATAAAATTAAAATAATAATTTTATGAAAAATTAAATTTAAGCCATTAAAAAGTTACAATCCAAGGGTGGTGGAAGAGAAATGGAGACATTCTCTTCCCACGTATCATCCCTATTTCAATTAAGAGATTAAAAAAAAAGAGAGAGAGATAATTGGCACTGAAAATCCGAAGCTTCTAGGAGCTAGGTGCAATCAATTATCATTTTCAGTATTAAAGAATGGCGTGCATTGTCCAGCCTGATAATGAGGTTTATCAACTAACCAATTGACTTTTAAGTTTATTTAAAACCCACCCACAACTATACTCCGTAAATTTATACAAAGTTTTTATAACATTTTAACAATCAATTAGACAAAACTTCTTTGGTTTATGGTATCAAATTTGATCTAAGCTGAATTGTTTATAACTTATAAAGAGTAGGAATTTTTTTTTTTTTTCACGAGACTACTTCAAGTTGCTCGCAGGGTGGAGACAGATAATCTATCCAAAGCTTCAGAAATAAGATCTATTTTTTACATACCTTTTCGATGTTCTTTTTCTATTATATAGAGTCATCCAATAAAGAAAAAAAAACAGAATATTGTTTGGAATATAAGAAATTCAATTAAATGGAATTAACAAGTAACATACAAAAAATGCCTGCAGCATTATTAGAATAACAACCAATTAAATTAGTAAATCTATGTGATTAAACACATAAAATTTCTAGTAAAATAAATATTATTTATATGCAAATAATATAATTAATAGAAAATATACAATTTATTTCTAGTTGCATTATCATACGACTTATAATAAATCACATTATTTTTGTATCATAGTAAATAATAAAAGAAGATCTCTTACTCGTGCTTCATGGAACATATAGAACCCTAGCATATAATTTATTTTATTTCTTGAACTGCAATATAGTAATACACTTCCCCCTTAATTTCCAATCATAAGCAACTATGTTCTTTTTAGCCTCTAATACAAGCCACATGAAATGTTTATCATTATTTTTAAATTTTATCCTTGATGTGAATTTAATTTTGTGATTGATCTTATATTGAGCTATCTCTTTCAATCTTTGATAGGAGTAAAGTTGTAGTTTTATCATTTTAAAATATATTTAATGAGTTAGTTATTTTTTTCAGTTCAAGTAAAATAATTAAAAATATCTTATAAAAGAGGAGTATCATTTAGTAAATTAGCTAGAGGAACTAAATTATAGGAGACACAATTTATTTAGTTCCTCCTGACTATAATATATTTCATTATTAAATAATTTATAATTTTTAAAAAAATGTTAATTAAATTTTTATTTTTTTAAATATTCACATCTTTTCATTTATATTTTTAAGTTTTTTACATGTATGGCCATAAGGAATAAAAAAATAAAAATAAAAATTAAAAAATTGTTTAATATTATATATTTTGAATCAAAGGTGTTTAGTGTTTTTTAAAAGAGATTCAAGTATTATTTTTATTTGAAAGAGAGCAGGGGAGGAGAAATAGGGGTAGGTGACGTGGTGAGAATGTAGTTAATGACCGTTTACCGCCAGCGCATTCAGCACCAAAATGCATCCACCGTGGCAAGAAATGAGCGTCGGATGCAATTCCTCACTCCGATACCTGCAGTGGGACCCACCAAATTAATCCTCACTCTCTTCTCTTCCTTCCTTTTAGTTTTACCCTCCTCCCTCAACTTCTTCATCGTCTTAACTACTATTCCCTTTTCTTCTCTCTAATTTTGATCTTCTTGCTTACGCTTCCTTGCCAATTCCATTCCTTCCCTCTCCCACTGTGCAACAATTTCACCCAATTAATTATTAACTTTTCTTTTAAAAAAAAGCAAAAAAGAGAAAAAGCCCAGGGAAGAAAGAAAGGTTCCCGAAGCTTTTAGATGCTTTATTTGATTCAGAGAATTCAAAGCTGGTTTTGATTGCTGATATTCCTCAGTAATGGGGCTTTCTGTTCATATCCCCTGGTCTCCGAGATACTGCTTTTCTTTTTGGAAAATTAAAAGGCGAGTGGTCTCTCTTTTGGTTCTCATATGTATTTGGTTTGGGGGATTGGAATGTTCCACTGGTTTTTAGGGTTCTTACTGCTTTTCTGGAGTGACTTCAGAAGCCAATTGTGTAAGAATATCTTGTTTTTATTCGTCTATGTTGGGTGGGTCATTGGGATCGGTTTGAATTTGTCATCCTGGTTCTCTTTGTCGCCTCTGTCTCACTTTTTAAATTCTGTTGCAGTCTGATGCATGCTGGACATGAATTTTTCTCTTATGTCTTAATTTTTTCGAGCCAAACGTGCTTCCGCTTATGGAAGTTCAGTTATACTTCCCATACAGCACAATTATGACGGATTTGATTGGCAATCGTAATTCTATTACTTTTTGCTCATTCTATATTTATGAACGGTGATCTGAAGTTAATGACTTGTTCTTTTGATCATATGATGGGAAACTACTGGTTTTGGGATGGTTGTATTGTAGGAGTAATGCATGACTGGTTGGTTCGTTTCTAATGTTCGCTCCATGACAGATTCTTGAGTCAAGTGAAACAGTATGAAAAGTAGAATCAGAGAAAGGAGGAGGGGCGATATCAGCAGGAGTTTGCGGAAGATAATGAAGTGCCTATGTTCAGGGGAGCAGTTAAGAGGAGCAAACGAAATGGTTCCTTCATCTGAATCTCTTGCAACCAAGGATTATTCAATAAGTGGGGATTCTTGCCCAGCTGGACAAGTTGACAAGAAGAGGCCAGACACTGGTAATATAGAAGAAGCTGAATCATCCCTTCGTGAGAGTGGTTTCTTGAATTATGAGGTTGGTTTTCTTCAAAATTCCACGCTTTAAAGTCTGCTGCCAGACATAGTCTTTACCATAAGCTCCTCTCTTCCTTATTAGCTGTCAAGGGTGCGCGCGCGCGCGCGCACACACACACGCACGTGCATCTGCCCAAGAAATTTTTTTTCATGTTTCTCTTCTTTACTTTATTTCTCGAGACGCAAATCATTGATACATAAACTATAAATGTGTGTGTGTGTGTGTATTATCTCTCTTCCTATTCCTTCATCAGTGGAAAGTTGAGTGAGCCTCGAGCACCTTGGTGGTGGACACAATCTCCGCCTTACCTGATTGTGGCATTAAATGTGATATGGGCAGTGGTTTCTTGCAGATCAAATAGACTATCATGCGCTAAGCTTATGTGCTATGATTAGCCTTTGTTATTTTGGTGGTAACCTTGACAAATCACAACATTGTTATCATGTTTTGTAAATATGATGTTTATGCTGGTCAATTTAGTAGTTTACATTGACATATAATTCTGCGCCTGACCTCATTTTGTTCACTTGGAGCAAGTTGATATCATATTGGTGCTTGATAAGCTATTCATCTATCTTGAAATAATTACAGCCATAAACTCATAGGCCAGGCTCCCTTTTCAGGAGTAATATGTCTCTGTGTATGTAATATGCAGGAAGCTAGAGCTCTGTTGGGAAGATATGAATTTCAGAAAGGCAACATTGAAGCTGCTTTACATGTTTTTGAAGGAATAGATATAGGTTCTGTGACTCCTAAAATCAAAATTTCCCTTGCCCAAAGGGCAGAACAACCTAAGAGACATAAGAGACATTCCCAGCATTATGCTGCACCCCCAATGTCAATACATGCTGTTGGCCTGCTGTTGGAAGCAGTCCTCCTGAAAGCAAAATCGTTGCAGGCTCTTGGAAGATTTAAAGGTACCTTTGTTTGTTCACTTCAAAGAGTTATAAGAAAAATAAAATCAGATGCATAAACACTTCCATATTATTGTATTAGCTTCACTTGTCTGCTTTACAATTTGGGATCTGGAACTTGTTCCATTACTATGGGGCTGACAATGTTGTTAGCTGTTAAATAATCTGCCTTTCGTACTCAAACTTTATCAACTAGATCCAGTAGCCAATTAATCTTTTGAAGATTGAAATTAGTGGAAGTTCAGAGCTATTTAATTTTAAGAAGCCAACATGTTATCTAATGTATATTTCATTATTCTTGCAGAAGCTGCCCAGTCTTGCAAAGTTATTCTGGACATAGTTGAATCTTCATTACCTGAAGGTTTGCCTGAAAACTTTGGTGCTGAATGTAAATTGCAGGAGACTCTGAGCAATGCAGTTGAGTTGCTTCCAGAACTATGGAAACTTGCTGATAGTCCACGTGAAGCTATTGTGTCTTATAGGCGGGCACTCCTTCACCAATGGAATCTTGATGCAAAGACTACAGCAAAGATTCAGAAAGAGTTCGTCATATTTCTTCTATATAGTGGGGGGGAAGCAAGCCCCCCAAATCTCCGTTCCCAAATGGACAGCTCGTTTGTGCCCAGAAACAACATAGAAGAGGCTATACTTCTTTTGATGATTTTGGTAAGAAAAATCACTTTAAAAAGAATTGAGTGGGATCCTTCAATTTTAGACCATCTTTCATTTGCTCTATCTGTTTCTGGGGATTTGACAACTCTAGCTTATCAATATAAAGAATTGCTCCCTGGGACTGTCAACCGAAGAGAAAGGTATTTTACTCTTGCTCTCTGTTATTTTGGTGCTGGAAAGGACTTGATAGCTCTGGATCTTCTCAGAAAAGTGTTGAGTAGTAAAGAGGATCCAAAACATATTCCAGCTTTGTTAATGGCATCTAAAATATGTTCTAAGAACCCTTGTCTTGCAGAAGAAGGGGTAAACTTTGCTTCCAGAGTGCTTGAGAGCTTGGATGATAGATGTGATAAGTTAGAAAGTGTAGCCCATTGCTTACTTGGCATTTCAAATTCAGCAAATTCAAAATTAGCCATTTCTGATTCCGAGAGGTTTGAGAGTCAATCTGAGGCACTTCGTGCTTTGGAAACTGCTGGCAAAATGACTCGAATGAGAGACCACAATGTATTATACCATCTAAGTTTAGAAAATGCGGAACAGAGGAAGTTAGATGCTGCACTTTATTATGCAAAATGCCTTCTAAAACTAGAAGCCGGGTCTAGTGTCAAAGGATGGCTGTTGTTAGCTCGGATATTATCGGCTAAAAAACGGTTTTCAGATGCTGAATCTATTATCAACGCTGCTTTGGATCAGACTGGGAAATGGGATCAAGGGGATTTGTTGCGAACAAAAGCTAAACTTCAAATTGCACAGGGCCAATTAAGGAGTGCCATTGAGACATATACGCAACTTCTTGCTGTTTTTCAAGTTCAAAAGAAAGCATTTGGTTCTGGGAAGAAGCTATTAAAGGTTTGTTGATAGTACCAACTGACACTGATTAATTACAAATCTTGAGCCTTTGTTCTTGGGACTAGTTCTTGCATGAATTGGCTGGATATGGTCTCACATAGAGATACAATCTCCACGATCACCTGTCTGTAAATGTGGATAACCTGCTAGTCTGTAACTAACCATAGTGATACGAATGGCAGAATGTGGATCTTGCGTCTTGGCTGTCTCCAAGATGCAAACCTTTAAAAAGGAAGTTATTGTTAGTGGATACTGGATAATTATTTGAAAACTCACAATCTGCTATTATCGCTAAATAAAATTAAAATAAAAATGCAGTGTAAAGACCTTGTAGTAACAATGAGTTTGACATGGATACATGCTTGGAAAGGCAAGTGTTGGATGCATAAAGTTCCTAAAAGTTTTGGATATTTTGACAAGGACGTTGGGAATGTTCGAAATATGATCTACCTTCAAAGTCATTCTAGATATTCTAATTTTTGCTAAGTTCTCCATTATATACTTTTTATAACCTTTAACTGACTGAAGTCTTATGCCCTTGATGAATTTTAACTGTTAAAGAGCACGTATTTTATGATGGTATCAGAGTGGGCAGGTCACAAGTTTCAACATGTTTCCCTCCCCACTAAAATATGAAAAGGTCATTGTAGTGGCCTGAAGTGAAGAACATTTAACCAAAATATGGGAAAGCATTAGAATCTAAGCATGACTACACAAATTCAAATTATTTATTAGTAATGAATGGGTTCTAACTGTGTTCTGCATTGAAATTCTTTGACTCTTTCTTCATGGTTCAAGTACAAAAACTTGGGATGTATCTTGTAAATGAATCATGCTTCATGCCAAATGATTTGTTAAATGGTTGATGAAATCATCCTGTTGCATTTGCCTCTACAGTTTCTGTGGGTCTGCTTAAACCATTTATGATGCAAGTATAGGTTCCATGGTTGAATGGTTGATGTCTATAAGGTAGATTCATTTCTTACTTGAAATCTACTGGGATGTGACTATTCTTGACATCTTTTTTGTTGGATCTATTTGAGTGATGCCCAACTGTCCCAGGCATGTTTGGTGAATGAATGTGTTTGACTGTCAGATGCTTTAGGTTTATGTGGTTCATGTATGTAAAGCACATGCTCTTTTCATTCAGGTTGAATTATGGAAGCTGTTGGTATCTGAAAATTTAAAAGCAAAATCCTTTCTCCATTGATATAAGTAAAATCTGTAAATATGTCCGCGTGGGTGCGTGTATAGAAATTTTCATGTCTCTCTCTCTTGTTGGACTCATTTTTAGTTTTGCTTATCCAAGAGATTTTGTTTGGAAAAGAACCGTTACTGCTGGCTGCTTACCTCTTTTTTCTTTTTTTGGTGCTACTTGTCCTAGGAGAACAGAGATCATGCTAGGAACCTGGAAGTCGAAGTATGGCATGATCTTGCCTGTGTATATATAAGCCTGTCTCAGTGGCATGATGCTGAGATGTGTCTTTTTAAGTCTAAGACAATCAAGCTTTACTCTGCTTCCAGATGCCATACAACAGGTAAATATGCATGATTTTTATCTGTATGAATTTTATTTTCTTCCATTTATTTTTTCTGTGAGGGGGAAATAATTTACATCACTTCGATTTGATGATTGTACAGTTCGTTTTTCAATACCGGATTGATTATTAATAATGAAGGCTAGAAACTAGGAGTTCCTTTTAAGCCACATTTGATTCCATTTTAGGTGTAATTACAGTAGTTTAATGTTTGACAATGAGTTTTCGTGTGGGCTGCCTAATCAAAGTTAAAAACAAGTTTAGTGCATTAAAGAGATGACAAAGTTTATAGAAAAGGGCAGTACCAGATATCAGATAAACATTTAGAGAGAGAGATGACAAAGTTAGAGGCATCTTGTTTTTTGCACTTATATGTTATCCTCTGAGCCAGAAGTAGCAGAAATAAGTCACGAAGTGAAGTAGTCGGACAGTTGTTTTCCTTCTCGTACTTGCATAAATGGGCTTTATTGTCTTGTTTGATTTTACAGGAATACTGTGTGAAGCAAAGGGTTTGTACAAAGAGGCTTTGAAGGCTTTTGATGATGCTTTGAACATTGATCCCAATTATGTCCCAAGCTTGATTTCCACTGCCTTGGTTCTGAGACGGTGCAGTGGTAGTAAGGAATCACATGCTGTAGCGAGAAGCTTTTTGATGGATGCTCTGCGCCATGATAGCTTGAATGCTGGTGCATGGTATAATCTTGGCCTTGTTCACAGGGATGAGGGTTCGGTCTCGTCATTAATGGAAGCTGCGGAATGTTTCGAGGCCGCTCATTTTCTTGAAGAAACCTCGCCTGTTGAACCTTTCAGATGACGACGACGACTTCTTCATTTTTAAGTGTTGTTGACTTAGTTCGAAGGTCAATAAGAAACTCTTTGTTTCATTATTTGCTTTGATTGATTTCTTTTTCCTGCTGCCACCCCCTTCAATTATTGATTGAGTGTATACCCCAAAAAAAAAACACACACACACACACATCATCAAATAACTTTTTTAAAGAATTTATTTTCATGATAATTTCAGAGCAGTCTAAATCCACAAACACTTTTTTTTATTAATTATTAAATTGACTATATTTTTGGGATATGGGGGGAGTTGGTGATGAATAGAGCAAATAATATAATGCGATCCATGTAATTGACTTTAAGGTAAGACAAGGCTTGTTGCTTTCGTATTGAATAAACTAGCGTTTACTCCCTGTATGATGCACAGGTGTGATCACAAAGAGTATTAATGTACGGTGCATCTAGCTAATATTTAATTCCTAACATATTTGTGACAAGTTTGAAGTGTCACAATTAATTTAAATGAAAGCAAATGGTTGATAAATAGTACATTGATAAATAAATGTTCGAAAATGAAGGTAACACTACCAAACTATTGCAATACAATGCAAAGCAAACTAATTAAACATAAAGTAAAAGCAACTATTGTTCGATGCAAATTTTTAAAAATCTCAACGTCAACTAAATTTTTTGTTTTAGTTTTACAGTTGTTGTTACTTTCAGGTAAAAATATCTTCAACCCATCAATTGATTTACTCTTGATAAAGCAATATAAAGTTGACCATGAGTGAAAACTGAATTTGAGAGATACAAGCTAATATAGTACAAAAATTAACCTTGACTCTTATTAATAATCATTGCAAAAAACAATGTAATAGGAAGTTATCTTCCTTGCATATGAAATGGCCATCTATTCTTTGAAGGATTTATGTCCATTCTATTAATTAACATATTCTAATCAAGTTTAGATTCATTTAATGTTATTGCTTCAATAATAGTTTTGTGAAGTTTTGTGATGCTAAGCCAAGTTTCATTGCATGGACCTGCTACTTGGTCAATGTTCCTTAAAAGTATTATTAGTACACCAACTTTCAACACAAGTTTGTGTGAAGGCAGGCTAGAGCTATTTATTGTATTTAAAAATTCTTTATTATAGAGATTTTCAAATTGAATCAATATCTTATGTTGATTTGCAAATTGAATATGAAATATAGTATTCGATACAATCTCCTGGTAGCAATGAACACATGTAGTATTCAATACATGTTATGATGTAATTGACTGATGTTAGGAAGGATTTGAAATATTGAGACCTTCAGCTTCATACTTTGCGAAAGGCAATGAAGTATATCTTAAATTTCAACTGGATGTGACAATTGAAAGAGACAGTTATTGACTCTACATAACTATGAGAACTTAACGGTAAAGAGTGGAAGCTATGAAGAGATTGAAAGTACATAAACCCGAAACTGCATAGCATGTAAAATTTTTGAACTAATGATAAAGACACATCAGACACTCAAAGAGGCAAGAGGTGTTTAGTATAACAAAGACCTCACTTTTCTATGTCTATTCCACGACTCTAGTGGGATGCGCTGGAAGTTGACACCCGAAAAGGAAAAGGAATCCCTTCATTTCTTCTAGTAGGATATATCCTCATGATAGCATTACACCAGTTGTTGTATACGATAAATGGTTGATAGAATTTGTATGGTAGTTTAACATACATGTAAGGAATGTAGTTGGTTAAATCCTCGAGGCATTGACCAGGATTAGAGTATTTCCCTTGGTCAAATTTCTCACACTCATAATCATAAAGGCCAAAACTACTGATAACCCCATATAACAAACAAAAACACCTAATTGACAACTATCCCATTTATTGGTGTTTGGAATAGCTGTGTAACCTTCATTTCTATGTGTGCAAAACTTGTAAAACATGAACTCCACACAAGATGCTGTAGCTTTGTTTGCTTTGCTGTTCTGTTCTCTTATAATGGGAGAACATGAAATTTCAATTTTTGAAACATCTCATCTTTTCCAGCATTTAATCACTGTCATTAAGGACATTTGACGGAAAGGATGAAAACCTTGCATGATCTAGTAAGTATAAAAGGAACAACAAAGCTTAAGGATGCTATGATCTGGAGGAGGTAGAAGGTGATTAGTATTTTATAAGCTGAAGTTTAGGTTAAGGGTACAGGTGCTTGTATTGTGTAGGTAGCTTTTAGCTTCTTCGAAGTGAATTTGGAAAAGCTAATTACAGACATGAAAAATGACAACATACTGTAGTTCGACAGCAAAAGCAACACGGACATGGAAGACATAATAGGCATTTAATTACGTCCATGTTAGAAGTTATTTAAGAATGGAAATTAAAATTATATCCAAAAAAGAAAAAAAAGAAAAGAAAAGCATACCTGTGAACAGCATAAGTGATGAAAGAAGATCTTTGGGATAAAGGCCAAATCTGTATGTTGTAAAGAATGAGAAATCCACTTATGCAGCAATACCTAATGGCTTATAGGAAAACAGAACAGCTTTCCAAGTTACATGCTAAAAGGTACATCAGATATACATGAGTGTTCACACAGCTGAATATGGACAAAAAAAGAGAGCTGCAAAACCAACCTGCATCATTGGCAGTGGTGGAGGGAGGGGGGACCAGTAGGGGCCATGACCCTCCCTAATTTTTTTAAATTTTTTTAGTATTATATAGGTGTTACATGGTCTCAGTCCTCCTAAAATTTATAAAAACTCTATAGTATATATGTCTTTTAATCTTGGCTCCTCTTATTTTTAAATCCTGACTTCGACCTGATCACTGGTATATCTATTGAGCATGTTTCATAAGAATAAGGGAAGTGCGACAAAAGAACCAAAATCTGGGTATGAGGGTATCACATCCAAGGTAAGGAAAATTGGACAGATAATTGATAAAAGTTCATCACATTAATTACAAAGCAATTTGGAGGTACAAGGATATCACAAAAAGCTTTAATAGGTAATTGGTCAGACTGATTCTTCAGCACGGAAATGACTTTCACATGTTTGTGAAACTTACTTATCTGGCACATAGCAATACCCAATGGATCATAGGAAAACACAACTACTTTCCAAGTTAGAGGCTGCATACTATATATATACACTAGTGATGACACTCTTGAATATGGACAGAAGTATAGCTGCATAACGAACGTACATCGCCGGTATAGATGCTGAGCATACTTCATCAGAATAAGGGAATTGCGATAAGGGGAATCAAAACATGGATACGAGGATTTCACATTAGGGTAACGATAATGGGGCATACAACTAACAAAAAGTCATCACATTGAGTATAAAGTAAATGGAAGATACAAGGATATCACAAAAATGTTTAATCACCAATCGGTCAGATTGATTCGTCAGAAAACTCAAACTTTCACATGTTTGAGAACTTACTTGTTTGGGAACTTATTATTGATTAAAGCTGTTGCACTGTAATCTGAATCAATAGAAGTCTGTTATTTGAGAGGTAGAAATAAGAAATTTCAAACCACTACCATATATTCAATATAGATATAAAATGAAATAAACAAATGATGTTAATGACGTTCATCTGTCCTCTCCTGCTATATATAATAAGCATGCAGAAGTCTGTTAGACATAAAGTATTAAAATGCTGTTCTCTATGGTCAAAAATCAGTGTCAAAAGCAACAAAGATATTAGTGTTTTGGACTTAGGATGCTAGAGACCAAAACATGGATTAGGTAGGACCTTGTTCCAAAAAATTTTCAAAATTAAAATTTCTGATATATGCTTCTCTATGTAAAATAAATTAAGAAGTCAAATCAAGCATGGACAGAATAGGAGAAGATCTAAATCTGAACATCATGCATCAGTCATTATGTAAAATGAATTGTGTAATAATTTCATGCTCCTTTGCTATTGTCCGAGGCATGAACTCTATCCAGTATTTCCTATGGATAGGCTATCCTCCATTGCAGACACGAAGGTTTTTTATCCAGTAAACACGACCTTGAAGAACATTAGGAAACCTACTCATCAAACTATCTCCAACTATAAAAGACAAAATGTAAACATGCAAAATTGGAAAATGATAATTACAGAAGACAAAATGTATTTAAAATGTAAGTCTAACAGTGTAGCAATACATATTACAGGCTATAGGGCGGGGGAATCTGTACAACACCCATGTCTATATATCTAACTTCCTCGTCATATACTGCTTTGTCTAATTCTCAAATAGACATTGGCATCACAGCTCCAGAAGGAATGATCAACCTTGACCCTTATCTGCCAAGACAACTTAAAAGGATGAAGTTCATTGAGGAGGATGCAATTAGCATTATCAGAAGCCATTGGCTTTGAATTCAGACGAAGACGATGACTACTTGACTAAACGACGGAGAAAATGGAAAACATAATTCCTTGTTAACATGTCATGGAGAAGACAACAATTACTTCTGAGTCCTGAACTGCTCTCAACATTCTGTCATGTCAATTTAATAAAAAGAAGTGAGTTAACAAAACTTTTTGAATATCGCAAGATTGACATTTTTTTGAATCAAATATTAATGTTCTGACACACACTTTTCCCTGCATATTAAAATTGTACTTTTGAAACAGACGTTAATATTTGCGAAGGGAATTACATACTATTAATTAACTATGTAATATGTATATGTCTATTCAGCTTTATCTAGAGACCAAAATTAATGGCTAGAAGAACACTTTTTTCCAGATGACAAATTAAAGTATAAATTCAATAATTTGTTAATTTTAGTACCCATTTAATATATGTAATTCTAATTGTAAATGTAATAAAAGTGTCTTGATATAAATCACGAAGGGAAATTTACTAACTGAAACTGTGCAACATGGAGTAATATCTTATACCAAGAATTATAAATTTTGTGAGACATCGTTGATTATAAATTGTTTATAAATATATTAAATAGTGCGTGGATAATAAATTGATATTAAGGAGGCGAAACATACTTGAAAGATAATGAAATTGAAAAAAAAATAATACATGATTCAAATAGACTCATTACAACAAGTAATAATTCTTCAGAATATAACATGAACCAATACAAACTTAAAAATATAAAAGGAAAAACGTGAAAATAAATACAATAGAAATGAAAACATGATTAGAACAAAACTATATTTGATATCCAGGAAAATTTAAGATCTTCGAGAGCATAATCCACTGCACTTCATTGCATCATAACGAACAACAGCACCTGCAAAAGTGTAAAAAGACAATTCTACATAATACATTATTTTATAGATGAAATGAATACTACTTAAACGTGATCAAAGAAGGGACTGAAAACTTCATCACAAACATCGAAATAGTCTGAATGACTAAAAGCTAATAATATAGTCATAATTTAGGTTGCACCTATAGAATCCTTGAAGGAAGAAATACATGATTGAAAAAAACATTCTACAACTTTTTTCAATCTCTGCATCCATGACCTTCATCTATATTTCTAATCATCTAATCATATGGTTCATCACGCTGATATTACTCTCTCCATCAAGGCCCTCCAGAGAGGGGGAAGCTCCTTGAATTTTGGGGCCTAGAACACCCTTGTGGCACCACAAAAATTTGTCATCAATGGTTTTCCAGCAATTATAGCTCATATCAGAAAAAATAATAGCCAATGAAGATAACAATTATATAATTATGTCACATGGTCAAGTGTTAAAGATTTACCATCTTCCCTTGCAACCAATGCATATTGAACAACTAAAATAAGATTGTCAGGATCCTTCTTCAGCTGATACGTGTTCCATGAACCCATGGCAACATCACCATATAAGATGCTAGTGCAAAAATACTCCGATCTTGCCTGACTCAGTTTGACTTGAGATAGTCCAGTCCTGTTTAGTCTTTATAAATGCTAGTCCTTCAGGGTCAAAAAGACTAAAAGATTCGACTATTTTTTGGGTTTGACTAGACAGGAAATTGGGCATCTGAACCACTTAATCTAATCTAATCCTATTAATTTATTTAATATAATTATAACTAATTTATTTTTAACAAATGCTTCAAGTGTAATTGACACTAAGAAGATGATTGTACAAATATTTGTTGAGTTTGTTTCTAAATTATTATTGTAATGTAGTGTTTTTGAAATTTATTCAGTGTTATTTTTGTTGAAATTATAAATTTAGATCATTTAAACTATAACAAAAACATTTTTTCTTACTATTGAAAATTATTATAAATTTATTATTATTATAAGTGTTTTTATTATTTGAATTTATTAGGTTGAAATGAATTATTACTTTTCATAGAGGAAAAAGAAAAAAAAAACTAAATGAGTATTGGATTAACAGGATTAGTCTTCTAATCCTATAGACTAAGTTCGATTCTATTAATCTTTGAATTATCATCAAACAAGACCAGACTATAAGTTGCCTGATTCAATCCTTTTCATGAAGATACTAGATTTCGGGTTAGACCGAAGTTTGGTGCCGTCTAAATCTTTGTGCAGCCTTATAAGATACAGTGAATCATGTTGCCCGTGTAAAAACAGAACCAAAAAAAAAAAAAGGATTAAACACTTGTATACATGTGAATGAGAGCAAAATGAATTTGGGTAATCCTGTAACGACACTGATATGACAAAACACATAATTGGCTATTGGCAACAATGAAAGAGATCCTTGGAGTAATGAACTCATCGAGATTGAGCCAATCGTAGATGACATCGCCTTTCAAGAAACCCAATACATCTGAGAAAGTAAAGGAAAAAAAAATTATACAAGAAATGGTGATGTTTTTCCCAACATAACTTCGATGAATGACAAGAAACACACACCTCAAACACGAACATCTAGCCAACATTCACGTCTAACCATGAAGATAGATCTTATCTTGAATAAGTAGTTCACCATACGACATGGATAGTCATAAACATAAGTATTTGCCTGTAACTGGATATGAAACATTGGATGGATAGCAAAACCACCTCAGCGACCTTAATCTGTGAATAAAGTAAGACCTCTTCTCAAGCATCCGGTTAGAGAAGCGTTCAATAAGGTTGTCACCTGTTATTGAAATTATCATGCGAGACCATTAAAAAAGAGGTTCAAAAATATACGATAAGATCAGAAAAAGACAGGTTGCTCAGAGGAAATGATTAATCAATGCATGTAAATGTAGTACACTAATAGCTGTATCAAAGACAATAATCTCAAATGAGGTGATCTTCTTCGGCCAACCGGATGCACGATCAAGGAGATCTACATCAGTTCTAGGATACACTCTATCAACCCTTACAAGGATCGCTGATTCAGGCTTGTATGGCTCAACAGAATCAAGCATCTCAAAGTTGGAAGGTGTCATCACGTTTACTTGAAAAGGATGAAATAAGACAGTGCTGTTAGATAGAGATCGAGCTCTTACAAAACCAAGTTATCCATATAATAATACATACAGATAACAATACTACTTCACATGAACAACAGGGGCCACAAAATTGCCCAAAACATAGAATAAATGAAAAGGGCAAACCAGTATAACATGCGCCAGACGGAGGACGTAGAAGAAGATGGATGAGAAGGAATGGAGAACGATGGCATACGTAAAGCGAAGGGCAAAAGCATCGCATTAAATGAGAGAGAGAGAGACAGATCACATGAACCCATGCACGGAGCCCAATAGTAAGCCATATTAAATCTCAAGCCATCAAACCGAAAACGGCTCTACGATGGTGATCTGAGTCTGTAGCCGCAACATCCCTCATCGGCAAGCTTCAATTGTCATGTAGGATATATTGATATTGATGCATTATGCAACCGGTGGAGCAAGGCTTCGAAAATGTGACATTTTACTTTGCAAGAAATTGCTTCTCTCCTATCAAACGCAGCCTTAGGACAAGGGTTAGCACTGCTTGCTGAAACTTGTTGAGAGTGTATTCTATCTTAACTAATGTTGTTTTTTTTCCTTTTTGGGGAAATCCACGATGTGCAATCAATTAGAATAGTTCAAGAAAAAAAATTATATAGTTAGTTTTATTTATTTAAGTTTTTTTTAATTAAATGAAAATTTTATATATTATTTATTTTTAACAAATTCTTGTTATTAATATATTTAACACTTTTATATTTATTTATTTTGATTTGATTGGACAAAAATCTATTAAATATATAAGATTAAATAGAGTTTTTTTATACAAAGATTAAGTGTTAAGTTTTTCCAATTATAAATTTAAAAGACAAATTAAATTAGAATTTTACATCCAGGCACTAATTGCAAATCAAAACCAATCCAATCAGATTGATCCATGAACCATTCACCTAGACGATTTGATTGGCTGAACAAATGGGTCACTTTATAACATTAACGACGTTAACCTGGTTGACTCGATGGGTTAATATGAATTAGATTTTATTACTATTTTTCTCTTTTTTCCTTCCTCTTTTTGAATTTTGAATTTCAAATCCTTAATATTTTTTATGTTATTATATTTTATTACCATAAAATTATAATTAATATTTGTATAAGACCTTATGATTGTATATTCTATTTCATTGGAGTGATGACTTTTTATTTAAATATTACTTGCTTTTTTAGTCAAATATGATTATTTTTACATACTTTAAGCAATTTATATTATATTAATTATAACCAGTTTAACCTCCCGTTGACCCTAATCAGACTACTAGGCCATAAACAAATCTTAATCAATTCAATAATCAGGTCCAAATTTTTAACACCTAATATTTAGGAACAAAACAAACCACTCAATTAGCTCCTTATATTATATTAATTATAACCACTTTAACCTCCCATTGACCCTAATCAGACTACTAGGCCATGAACAAATCTTAATCAATTCAATAACCAGGTCCAATTTTTAACACCTAATATTTAGGAACAAAACAAACCACTCAATTAGCTCCTTTTATTATATTAATTATAACCAGTTTAACCTCCCGTTGACCCTAATCAGACTACTAGGCCATGAACAAATCTTAATCAATTCAATAACCAGGTCCAATTTTTAACACCTAATATTTAGGAACAAAAACCACTCAATTAGCTCCTTCATTTAGAATAAGAGGGCGTAATTTTATTTTATTTTTTCAAAAAATAATTCCTTTAAAAAAAATTACGCATGCATGTCATAGAAAATAATTTCAAACGCTTACAATAACTGTCAGCAAAACGTTGAAAAAAAAGAAAAAGGAAAAGGCAGATGACATCGCATAAGTTAGAAGCCCTTTGGACCAAAAAAAAAAAAAAAACCTTATTCAACTATGCTATCCCCGAAGTTATTTTCTTCTAAAATTATTCACTATTAAGCTTTTTATCCCCTCTAGAAAAACAGCCAAAATAAGGCAACCCAGAAAAGAGAGAAAGGTCAATGTGCAAATTAGTGCACCTTGCGGAGAGATCAGAACATGACAACGCGTGATAATAGCGGCCAAAAGACCCATAATAGGAAGATAATACTGGAAAACTTTCTATGATCTGATAAGAGTGCAACAGTAACAATTAACATCCCTTTCCCGCGTGACGTTTCTTGCGACAACGGACTACATATGACTATAGATCCTGTATGTTGTCTGTATGAATGGGGAAAATACAGATATACCAAAGGGCTGTATTATTCCGCAGACGCCAGGATGGCAATGGGGAACTATCTACTCCAGCCCGAACTTTGAAGTGTAATCCGCGCTTGAGCAACAAACTAACAAGCGGAAAAAATGACTTTTGAATCGCAAGACGCAAATCAGAAGCTAATAGAAATTACAACAGTTAGAGGAGCCGCTGAGGGAAATGGGAGCAGAAAACGTTGATGAATATGTCCAGATTTAATTTGGAAGCTGAGATTTTGAACGAAAATTCCAGCCAAATAATTTGCATGTTAACGCTGATGTTCATAAGTGGCCTTACTAGTCTGTCGTGTGGAGGAAATCACCAAATTGCATGTCATATTCGTGTGTCGTCCAGTAGCATACATTGCTAAGAGGTAACCCGTCCGGCCTCTGTAAGAACAAAATTGAAAGCTCATGATTACATCATAAAGTACGGTAGCATTAGAAATAAAGGAGTAGAAAAGGACACAAAATAAGAATGAGAAGAAAAAAAGCATCACTAGGCATAAAAACTTTAATTTCCAAATACTTCAAAACTGTAACCATCGTGAAAGGTTAAAGCAAGAAACAAAGAAGGATTTTTCGGCTTTCAAGGTGTTAAAATATCTCACTTTACATAAAGTCAAGCCTTCGACAATAATGTTGCCTTCTCTTTTATGGGCATGCATCCAGTCGTTTATTATTCATTCTATTTTAGATTCTGACTAATTCAATATATTATCTTCAGCTTACCTTATGCACTCATGCGCGGTAGGTAAGATACAAATGCCAAAAAAAAAAAACAAAGAAAGAAGAAAGAAAAAGAAAAAGAAAAGAAAAGAAAAAAAGATAATAAATATCAAGTCTGATCGATGACAGCTTTGAGGAATGAATGATCATAGACTTTCTTTTGAAAAAAAAAAAAGATAGCGAATGATCATAGACTGAGTAATGGAAGGTATAAATCAGATGCTCAGCGAATCTGAGAAAGACCGAACGTAAAATTTTCACATCCCACACATGAAGGAACATAAAAAATACCTTGTTATTTACAAATAATGCAATAACAGATCAGCTGAAGTATTTCTCAACCTGCAACTCTGTCCAAGATGAACATCCCCAAAAACATACCTGCGGTATGGAATATCATAAATTTGAAGGAAAAAAAAAAAAGGATAAATTGAACAAAGTAAAACATAAAAAAAAAAAAATTCTAGATCCGTAATTGAAACTTCAAAAATTATGAAGAATTAAAAGGAACCTATATTCACAATATTCTGGCCATGCACAGCGTGCTTTTCCATAATCCCAATAACAGTCGTCATTCCTTAAAGGTCCACGCTTAGCTGTTATCGAACAAATGTTAGTGGAACCTTTCCAGCACAAACCTCCAAAATGATTTAAGCAAAGCGTGAAATACCTTTTGTTACAAAATCCGATGTTGCATGGGGATGAACATCATGCCAAATTTCAAGCCACAACTCCCTCATTAGAGCTGGTGATCTAACAATGTTCCTGTGATTTGCTACATTAATGTATCCTCAATTAATGTGGATGTATCTACAAGGTCACCGTTGATTTTAGGCAAGGAAAAGTAACTAATAAGCAAAATTTGTTGAGAAATTTTATTATGAAACATCCAGTGATATTCACAGATAAATTCCTTCCCTAGGTAATAAAAGTATCGTCAATTATCTAACCTTGGTGCAAAAAGTATTTCATATTTTAAAACTCACCTTCAAGCTAACAGAATAAAATCTTAAATCTTCATATGGTTCTAGCATCTGAGTTTTGACTACCTGATTAATTCTGGGGGGAAAAAAAGACCAGAAGAAGCTCATCAAAACTGAATCAGCTAGCTTAACCTAAGGGATCTATGTGATTTAGTTAGCATTATTTCAGTCCTAATGAAAAGCATTTGTAAGTTTGTAAAAACAAAGACAAGTCATGCACCTTTGTCAAGCTCCCAAACTGCTGTCCTCTTTCCAGGAATACTTTCAGAATCTTCATAGAAGGTTATGTACTTAACCTTGGGTGACTTTGTCATGTTTGGAACAATATCTTTGTCATGGTGATGTTCCACATTCAATTCAACTTGTACATCGGACCCATCATGTTCTGACTGAAGGGTAAGAGCAGAGATATTATTATATTATTGTTGCCATAACAATTGAGATAACAACAGTGTGCTAGCAATAAATACCACATGAAGCTAAGAATAGCATAAGGGTATGACAAAAAGAATTAGCAAAGTTGAAAAGCCTAAAATCTTCTATGGTCCGAAATGCAGATGACTAGTAGTATTGAATCAAATGGCAAACAACTACAGATAAAAACACCAATAACTTTAGACATAGCAGATCCAGAGCTAAAAGGGTTTAAGAGCAACTAGATGAAAGAGTAGTTTACCACAAGAGAAGGATAAGATTTTCATAAATAAATATAAGAGTCATTTCTTTTAACAAACACTTCACAGACAAAAGTGTGATAGCAGGAAAGGAGATGCCAGGTTAGAACTGTGGTCCGAGTCCCAGAAAATAGTCATTTTACAACAGAGGTTTGCAAATACAAGCAAATTAAGCACACAGTAAACAGAGGATATGGATCTTGTAGGTAAAAACAAATAATCAAGACACGAATCATATTTCACAAATGATGGTTTGGTTGAGTGATAAGGAACTCAATGTCTCAGAACTGGAATACCTGGGGAGCTCTTGTTATGTTCACTTTTGGTCCAAGCCAGTTTTTGCACCAGGAAAGAGAATTGTATGGTACCTGTAAAGAGTTAATTTAAAAGCAATCCAATTTCAGAACATGTGTGCTAAATTTCCAATTCTTAATACTATGTTTGGTTAGAGGGAAGGATGAAATTTTCCCTGCCCTTGTTTGGATGGAAAAATGGAGGAGAGGGGGAGGGGATGGGAGGGAAAATTCATTCCCTCTTAACCCTCCCTTCCCAATTGGGGGCATTTGGAGGGATTCCTCCCCCTCCTCTTCCCTCACCTCCCCTCCATTAAAATCCCCCCTCCAACCAAACATATAAGGAATTGTAAGTACTATTACAGCAGAGAGTTTGAAATAGGTTTTTCCATATGATCACAATTGCAGTAAAGGAATATAATTGGAGCTAACCGTCTCATCTCCACTGGTGGCTCCAGGATTCCCATCAACTAGATTCCCTGACCTAACAATGCATGAAAAAGAACAGTTAAAGTAATGCCTCTTTCATTATTACACACATTCTTTTGCAATTAGACCACATTATTACTTTGCACAATTAATGCCAAAATTGAGAACTCGCAAAAGCTAGTTTAGGTGAGGCCATTGCTGGTACTTGAAAAAATATATACATTATTTATTGATGAGTTAAACACAATCCGATTATTTGTAGCACACTGCAAAATTAATGGAGCTTGTGATGTCAAATTATTATGTACACAAAACGATCTTTTTGAACAGCATCAAATCCCTAGCCTAAGAACTTTCTTGGGCAAAAAAACAAAAGGAAAAAAGAAAGAAAAGGAAAGATGAAGAGGGAGACTAAGATGGTGAGGGCAGCCTGCCTGCACTTGAGATGAGGTGGAATTTAAAACAGCAAAGTCAAATTTTATTAAAAAATATAATAGAAATAGAATTATTCTCCCTATTCATATATGCAATGTCCACAGGTTAATTATGTCGTAAACTCAAAGGGGCTGATTTATTCAAATCGGATTTGAGATGCTCAAACTGTAAGCCAGGTCAAAAACTATGGCTAGAGGCAGAAATGAAGGTAAAGAAGTGAAGGAAATAAACAAGGAAGACAACAGTAAAAGCATCACACTCTCACAGCAAAGCCACAGCTTTAAACACTTAGGATCCGTTTGGTTTTCTTAAATTTCACGTTCAGAAAGCAAAATTTTATTTTCAAAAAGCTGAAAGGTAAAATATTTTGCAAAAAAGCACATCTTGAAAGTACCTTCAAATAGTAACTGAAAGTGAATTTCTGAAACGTAACTATTTGAAGCTTTTGAAAAGTAGAATGTTCTTTGACTATACTACCCAAAGTTAATCTCTTATTCTTTTATTTAAAAAATAATTAATTCATTAAAAATAATTAGGCGTCACATTTTCAACATTTTAAATTGAATAATTAATCATGTTAATTTTTAGCATTAATTTATAATAAAAATTACAAATCTTCATCATATTTTCTAAAATTACAAATTAAAAAATAGAGATCAAATTTTTAGCATCATAGATCAGAATTTATGTTATTTAAAATCTTTATCACATTTTTTAAATATTTCAAATATATTACATTTGTATAATAAAAATTACAAATCATCATAAATCAATGTCCTTTTTGATAATTATACATTCAAAAGCACATTTCACTGTCACAAACCAAACAACTTTTAATGTACCAAACTGAATTTTAAAAAAATGTATTCAAACACAAATTTTGTTACAACAACTGACTTTCACCAAATGGACTTTTCGCAAACTGAAAATCAAACACACACTTAATATGATTCTCTTTCACCCCCTCTTTTCCCATCCCTTTCCTTGAGATGAAAAATAACAAGCAAAAATAATAAGAATAAAATATAAAGAAAAATAAAACAATCGGAAAGGAAATAAAGATTGTACTCTTCCTGGTCACAATATCATATGGGAAGAATTATATATATATATATATATTTGAGTTAAGGTCATTTTTTGTTCCTAAACTATACAAAAAGGGTCACAAATGTCCTAAACTCAACCATGAGTTAATTCTGCCTCTTAAATTTAGATATTCTCTCCATCATTACCTTGTCATTTTCTCACCATTAGTTGACCGTTAATGTGTCTCCACATATTTTCTATTTTTTTATTATAAAATATTTGAGTTGAGGGGTAAAAATCACCCTTAACCTGATAAAAAATAGTGGAATCCATTAATAACTAGCAAATGTTAAGTTTTTTTAATGTCAAGGTGATGACGGAGGGAATCCTTAAAGTTGAGGAACAGAATTAACCCATGTTAAGTTAAGGGCATCTATAATATTCCGTGTATAGTTTAGAGACAAAAATGACTCTTAATCCTTTTTTTTTCCTTGTCAATGACATGATTTTTTGCACATATGGCAACTTGCTTTGTCATTCGCACATATGACCCTTAACATTCGTTTACAAGTAGATATGAATAATAGAAGATATACAAATGAAAAGGAATTGGCTAAATTTTTAAAGTCATAAGAGAAAAAAAAAAATCTTTTCAACATTATGCACCATCAGAAGTCCTCTCCTCCCCCTTAGAATATCAATGAACATTGATTCGTCAATGAACATCATTAAGTAAAAATGTTACAAAGCAGGGAAAATAATAGAATCATCACCAACGGCAATGAACATTTTGAATATCAACAATAGTTAAATATTTAAACAATCATGCAGTAGTACTGGTATACCAATCTTGATGAACCTTATAGAAACTACCTTGAAATTAGAGATCCTTCATACTCATATATGATGTCTGTAATAATCCAGTTATCAGGGTACAGCTTGCCACTTGGAGCGAAGTAGTAGCCAACCTATTTTTGATAGCCAAAATGTCAAGATTCATGCTGACATTATCTCTCAACTCTAATCGATTTTTGGCAGACTTCCCAAAGACTACAGTTACAAGATAAAATTTTGAGAATTAGGATATAAAAAGAAAATGTTAAAAAATCTGGAAAATTAGTAACAGGAAAACTTTTCACATTAGTTTTTAACACTTCCATGATCTTGAGGATTGAGAAAAAAATACTTACAATCAAGTTCCTGTCACTAACTCTTTAGGTTTAGCAGTGATGTCAAACATCAGAAATATATTCTACTCACATCTAGAAGTACCTTAGTCTTTGACTCAATGCCATAAATGCAGAAGACATTTCGTATTGGTGGACGGTCCCAAGGTGTTAGTGGATTGAGAATGTTATCACTAAGATATGATCTGAAACAAAAAACATTCAAAGATATGCCTGATCAATCATAGAACTAGAAAGAAAACCTGCTAACTGTAAAAAAAGTGACAAGAAAATGAAGCAAGCAGTAATAGAAGTTTTTAAATAAAAAAGAAAGCTCACTCTGATAATTGATTGGTCAGAAATTGTATTTTATGATAGCTAGTGCAAAAAAACTTTTATGATGCATCTGTTACTTTGTACATCTCCTTTAATTCCTTGAGAAAGGAACTGCCCCTTAGGCAGTTCGTAGCTTGATCATAGCCTTTATTTAGATTTATAACTTCAAATCATTTTTTCAGAAGGTAGGGATGCTTAGTTTTGTGAATTTCACTTCGATTAAAAGGAATGGTTAATTTTCATTTTTCAATAAAACATATTATAGTAATCTACTGTTTAATAGAGTTAAATCATATTTTTCAGAAGCAATTGGATAGCAAACTGGAATTGATGACAAAGAACTGTTGCAACTGATTGGACCATGAAGGAGTTACAGGAGTTCAGAAACTGGCACAATTGCTTTCGATAGTGAGGTTGCCAGGCAGTTGCAGGCCAGTTGTTTGGCATATAAGGGAAGAATTTCATTTTTCTTCTTCCAGGCACCCAGGCTTGGGTCTGTCCCCTCTACCCAGTTTTAGGGTTTGAGGGAGAAGGAGGGTAATGTGCTGTTGAGATGTGCTCCTTTAAATGCATTTAGTGCATTTGGTAAGAGATAAAGGCCAGAAATAGCCAGTGGCTTCCATTACTGAAATATTTTTACAAAGAGTATAGCTTTTCTGTCTTCTGTGTGGAGTTATGCTCATAGTTTGTCTTAAGGGAATGTCTTCATCAGTTACTAAGAGGGATTAGAGAGCTCAGATAAGCTGATGGTTTTTATTCCTCTTTTTTCTTTGTTCGTTTTGTAGTTAGGTTGGTTACTGATGTTCTAGTAAGTTACCTTTACATTCTGTTTATAAAATCTTATTTAATTGAGAGAGAGAGAGAAGATTAAACATACTTCTCTAACTGGAACATGAGCCTCTTACTGTCAGGGTCATAATCTTCTATTGCTTTAAAAAACGTGCCATCTGCTATTTCACGAGCAGAGAAAGATAATTGAGTAGGTAGTCCACATTCCATACTTGTCAAGTTGGGCGGAGGCATTTCAGATACTGATGGATATGCTTCAAATCCTGCTAGCAGAAGGTACAAATTGGCAATTGGGGACCAGAAACATGATAAGAATGTTGTCCACAAAGGCGCAAGAAATAATAATCTTACCACGGGTTGAAGGAATTTCGATATTGATTATGTTTGTTGGCCATCCAGAGAAGTTTGAACGATACTCCTGCCTCATCACAGCGATATGTGTGGTGGCCTACATTACTTCCCCCAGAAAAATGCTTACAATATTTATTATCTACTCTGCAGTACTTGGAAAAAGGCATCATCCATAATGATGAAGAAAACGAGTTGAACATCAATCGAGCTGTTCCCTGAGGCCTTAAAAAAAAATGATAAGCATGTATTGAGACATGATTTTTAACTGCATTACGAATTATAGGATTGAGCATATATACAAATCCTTCTAAACAGTCAGGTACCCAATATCACTTTGACACTATTCTTAGAACCCATATTCATCAAAATTAGGAGGACGACAATGATAGTGGGATGCAACTTGAACTAATTCCTGGCATTCATGATGCGCATTGAAGCAAGCAGACTACTTTCTTTGGTTGTCAATTGTAAAAATCAGAGTGTAATATTATAACACAAAAACAAAATGGAAAATAAACTGAATAGGAAAAATCAAAAGCTAAATGCAATAACAGACCTATACACTATTGGGCAACCTAGAAAGATCACAGTAGAAAACATCCCAAAAATAAAATGAAAAGTTAAAAATTAAAATGTAACCTCAGAAACTGGAAGACCAGATGTAAATCCAGAAAGTGTTGCTTCAATGGTCTCAGTTGCACCAAGAAGAGGAGCTCCTGAAACAGAATGTCAAATCAGTATATGCAATTAATTGTCATCATATGCAACACTATAAGAGGTATTGGATTCGCATGAGTCAAACATAGTATCATACCAACAGCAAAATAGGCATGATATGTTGATCCAACCATTCAATATAATGTTTAGGTGCAATTTCTAGCTTTAGCCACTCCAAGAAATATCGAAAGACATGATTACCCAGTGAATGGGCAAAAACTATAGAGGGGCCACCACGAAGTTTAAAAGCAGTTTCAAAGGTCAATCTGCAAAGAGGAAAAAGAAAATGAATAATGCAAGCATCAAAAAATTGACCAACAAAATTGAACCATTCGCTGTGACTATTACAAATTGAAACTGTCACATTCTCATGTATAGATGACTGCTGAAATTGAAACGTTGGCCATGAACCACCATAATACCAATTTATTACGTCTGAGAATGTTAAACCTCTGTATTTGTCAAAATAAATTTTTAGAAGACACAGATATCAAGAATTGTGAAGGATATAGTTGAAGAAACAGAAGCCATAAAGCATTATAATAAATGATTCCAGGCTCTAGTTATTATTATGTCAGTCCTGCCAAAGATTAAAGACTATGTCAAAATATTATCATTCAATTAGAGGCTGTAAATCATTCTACTTGATATCCAAATTGTTGTCATTCATATCAAAGATTAAAAGTAACTCCTATCCCAAGAAGTAAAACTCTAATACTAGAATGAACACACTTCTTTTGGAGTGAAGTTTTCCAAGCGGCAAAACATTGAATTCATGTAGATGTATCATGTATGTTTGAGAGAACTTCTAAGCACCGTGGAAATCAAGACAAAAATTGACCCTCAAGGGAAACCAATAAATGAAAATAGTGATACATCATCAAGTTAGATAATTAACGCATGATACGGAAGACTGGCAACATTGACTGAAATATGATAACTCGTCATCCAATTATATCCTGACAATGTCAGGAACAATTATGAGACAATAGGTAACAAAAATGCAATTTGTATCAAGTGAGCAAATTTTCCCAATCATATCAGTGGATAACAGTCTATCACGCAGGTAGTCACTGACATGTAAAGATGCATACATACTTTAGCTTATGAAAATAAAGATCTCGTTCTTCTAGAATACATGGTGCCATCTCCAATCATATGGAACAGCAATAATTGCATTAGCTTCTATGCCAAATTCAATGCACCACTTGATCCATTCTTTCCATACTGAAGAAAGAGGACCTGCAAATTAAACAAAAAAATGCAATGTCAGACTGCATACCCTATAAAACTATTCACACAGAGAAGGCAGATTTAAACATGCCTGTTATATAACCCGGATCAAGTTCTGTAATAGCAGAAAGACCACTATCCGGACGAGATTTACAATCAGGGTGATCTGTCTGATTGTACGGGTCCAGCATCATGCACTTTAGCCAACAATTGACAGCAGAAAGAAGCTGGAAAATAATTCATTTCAGGAAACTTTTTTGATATGAAAACAACTATTAAAGAGAAGAGCAATACAAAACCAAGGGCAAGAAGATCGCCCAAAACAATGGACAAAAATCAGGCTCTAGTTAGCTCGAAAAAGCTTTCAATCCCTTTGAAAATCCTCAAAAGATAGCCACTAAAAAGACTATTAGCGAAACTTACACATAAAAAGTGGTGTAACAGAAAGAGCATGATTGCGACAGAGCATTAATTGTTAATTAATTAAAAAAAACGAAATTCAAAGAACAGCCAATGTGACTTCAAAGAGAGCAAGCATTTTACAAACAACAAATTATCTCAAACAAGTTTAAATTTCACAAGAGCGGACAGCACCTTACCCACCATAAATTAATTAACCCAAAAAGAAAAGGAAATACAAAGAATGGCCAACGTGATTTCAAAGAGAAGGGACGTGTTATGAGCAAAAATTATCTCAAGTCGCAAATAAAAAATTCGCAGGTACCGACAGTCCCTTACAGTCGTTATGCTTCTTTCCTACGAAAGGTTTTCTCATAAACTAATGTCACAATCATAAGTGAAAAAAAATGAAGACGATAAGGCAACCAGGTTCCAAACAGAGTAGATGCAGAAGTTGCTTCAATTTTCTATATTCTTTTAGAGGCATGGTGTTCAATGTTCGGAATTACATGTTCATCAGCTTTAAAGTACCTATGAGCTTAATCAGTCGACAAATGAACAAGTGAATACACGATCAAGTCACTCAACGAGGAAATTTCCTCACGCTTTATCTCTCCCGTTTTTCTCGTCATTCAAACAATCACCAGAGGCATAAACTCGAGCCGTGCAGAACAAAATGCGGAGTAAAACAACTGAGACAGATAAAATAATTAAAGATAACATACTTTGGTAGTGTCGAGCCAGACCAAATCGAGAGGGTTGAAATCGAGCGGAGAGTAAGGACAGTCAAGAATTGACCAAGCTCGCAGCTGAGTAGATGCAAAGCCGGGGATTGATGCCAGATAGCTTCGAATAGTCGCCGTGGAACGCAGCACCGTCAGTGGAGGCAGTCGGAGTAAGCCCGGGGACGGCGAGGAAGACGAGAAGCCATGTTAGTGGCCTCCCCATTTCGGGAGTCGCAGAGGAGAGAAGGGGGAACGAACGAGTATGACCAACAGTTAGAACTTCAAAGAAGGGAGTTGGGAAAATCAAAAACTGATTGGGAATGCAAAAAGCTACGGGACTTTCTAAATTTACGGGTCAAAGTGGCAGTAATATTTTCTGTTCAATTATTTAGGACGACGACATGAAACACGGAAGGCAATTATGCAGTGAGAAAATTTATATATTTAACCTCATAAATTTAAAATTTTTATTTTTAATCAAATTAAAATATGTGTGCCTGTTATTAATTATTTATTTTATAATTAATTTTTAATATTAATATTATTAATTTAATAAAATTTACATGTTTTATTTTAATTAAATAAAAATATATTAATGTATGAAAATAAATATATGACTATTGCCCTTATTTATTTACCGCGTGTGCATCTTTATGCATGTGTGTGTGTGTCAGAGATGTGGGGAAAGGCGCGCCAATGGTCATGGTTGGCTAGCTTCTCGGAAGTTCATGCAAACTCTGTTGCTTACTTGCTTTTCACTGACTTTCCGAGTTGTCCGTTTGAATTTTAATTAAATATAATAAATTATAAAAATAATTAGTTATGTAATAAATTTTAATTATAATTGATTATATTATAATCTATTTAAATATTATTTTTTTAAAATTAATTTTTAATAAAATTAAAAATATTTAAATAATTTATTCAGAATTAATTTTAACTATATAAATTATAATAAAGGTATGACTTTTAAAAATTAAATTATTAATAAATTTATATTTAATATTTAAAAAAAATATATTATTTAAATTATATATTTGATTAATAAATTTAATAAAAGAGAAAGATTTAATTTTTAAATATTAAATATTAACTTTACAATAATTAATGAAGATGATAATGTATAAGTTAATTTTTAATAACATTATGAATATAAGCCATATATAATCAAAATGTTAAATACTGTTTAAAAATTTTGACAAATATTCTCTATTAATTAATATTTTATTTAAATTAGTTTTTCTAACTGTTAAGTGAAGGGTGTTGGTTGATAAAAATTTATGCTAATAATTTTTTTGAGAATCCAAGTTTAAACTTTATAAAAAAAGAAAAAGAAAAGAGAGTTTGATTTTATTTTTTACAATTTTATGTCTTTTTTTAATTTTTTTCCTGAGCTTTTTTTATATTTTTTCCCATGCAATTTCATAACAAAAGATGCAGAAGCTAAATCTGGAACTTTCGATTATAATCGATTTTTTTTCATAACAAAAGATGCAGAAGCTAAATCTGGACTTTCGATTATAATCGATTTTTTGGGAAAATTTGATTTTTGAGAAATTGATGTTTGGTAATTAATTGGAGAATTAATTTTTTTATCCATTAATTTTTTTATCCAAAAAATTGATTATAATCCTTATCCAAACACACGTTTGGTAGTCAGCCTCCTCAAATTTATTCATTCACCCTAAATTATTATTCCGTCAGTTTTCAAAAACTCTAGAAAAATTGTAATCAATTCACATCATTTAAAAAAATTAATTAATAATTAGTTAATTTTATACTGTTCATTCATTGGGGATGATTTGAGAAAAATGCAATCAATGCCTTTAAAATTTTGTAGTTTTTGTTATAATAAAAAAGGAAACAATTTGTGGTTTCACCTGTATATAAAAAAGAAATAATACTCATGTGATCTTATTTATAGGTAAAGCTAGTAATTTAAGGTAGTTCAAATCTACTCGAAAAAAAAAAATTAAGGTCGGGCTTGGCAAAAAAATAATTTTTTTAATGTTTGCTGAATAAATTCTGGCCAGCCTTGAATTACCCAAATAAAAAATTGTATTTTAAAAAATATATAAAATATAATCAATATTAATTAAATTTTTAAATTTTTCATTAATTTATATTAAAATATTATATATTTGAGTGCATTACTATAAATATTTTTTAAAAAATATAAATATTTTTATTATTTTTAATCTATAAAATATCATAAAATAATAGTTAAAATATATTTTCATATTGATTTTAGGTCTTAAGACCTGCATGTTTTTTTTAAAAATTGAGTCCTGTACAGCACTTAAGTTTTCAAAAAATATATTTTATATTTTTATAAAATAAAATAATTAATTTTAAAGTAAAAATAATTTAAATAATTTTAAAATAAAATTTGGACATTCTAACTATAAATTTAAGCTAAGCTTGGCTATTTGGGCTTTTTAAAAAGTTAGGCCTTTTCAAATTCAAGCAGCCCAAATAAGCCTAACTCATCTGAATTACTAGCTCTATTTATATTACACAAAGAGAATATTTATTTTCATCCTATTTATATCAAACCTCATTATTTTCTATGTTCATGTTTACTTTTATGCTCTTATTAAATGTTAAAAATTATTAAAAATGATTATTTTTGTCCTTATTAAGAGGTAGAAGTGAAAGCTTACTACCAACAGGCGTTCAATAGAATTGGTAAGGACTACTACTGGCATTTTTCAAGACAAAGGTTCGAACCCTAGGGAATGACCAATGCAATAATTAGGGCGGCCTCAAAGAGGTCATCCCATCAATACCTCGCTACCACCGTAAGGTTTCCTCATGAGGAGTTCGAATTAGTTTGAGACGGATAATAAACCTAAAATATCGCATGGTTTATACAAAAAAAAAAAGAAAGAAGTGAAAACTCCCTAAATTTTAAAATAGAATTAATAAAATTTAATTTTTTTTAGTTCTAATAAAATATGCTATAAGTAATTTATAAATAGAACAGAAGAGAATAACATATCATTGCATGTGTACATTAAGATTAAGAACAATTGGAATTTCCTCTTTTATTGCAAACTTCCAATATCGATTATTACCGCAATTATTCTTCTCTTCATGTGAAATTTCTATATTATAAATAAGATTATATTTTTATTTAAAAATAATATTTTCTTCTCTCTAATAAAAATGTAATAATTAACTTGACATTTGACAAAACATATATACACCCTTCATTAAAAATATATGACGTTTTTTAAAAGTTAGATGTTAAAAATATATGACATTTTTAGTTTTTCAATGTGTGATCATTGTCTTTTTAAAAAAAAATTATTAAATAAATCATTTTATATCTATTTTAAGGTGAGACACCTAATTAAATAGAGGTAAATATGAAAAGATAAAATTAGTTTGAAGATAAGTAACTATTTTATTAGGAAGTAAGATTCAATTAAAAATGTCTTATATTTTTTAAGAGAGGAAGTGGGTTGTAAGTTATTTTAGTTAGGATACTGTATATGTATTTCAAATTAATGTTGTTATTGTAATAATAACTAGTTATAAGATATAAAAAAATAAAAATGTACTCGAAGTGGTAGCCAATCTGGTCAAAACAAAAAGGGGCCGAGGGCCACACACACACACACACACATATATAAACTGTTAAGTGTGTGAAACGAGCAATGACACACCACACCATTCTTTTATTAGAGCTGAGAGAGGCATTCAATTTACAACGCTTTAGCTAATTACATTTGTTTATTTAAAAATTGTAGTAACTGTTTATGTCAACTTTTTTTTGATATTTTTATTTTTCTCCGAGGGCCTTGGTTTTTCTTTTTGTTTGGTACGATGAGGACCTTGTTTTTACGTGTATCCGTTACGTATTTTAGTGATTGGGTTTCTAACCAGGCTACCACAAAGGAGGAAGGTCGCAATTCAAATGGGATGCCCAGATATTAGACTTGAGATCTCTTATTAAAAGAGAAAATTAAAAAGGATGCCTCAAGAGATGGCTGCCCTAGAATCAAGTTGTAACAGCCCTCCGCTCACCCCGCCTACCCGAGGTCTTTTGCGGCGCTGGACACTCTCCCCCCAGGCCCCACAACAGGGCGACCCCACCCCTTACGGTAAGCATCAGGAGACAAAGGCTTCCCCGCAATAGTGTGCGGATTATTCCCCTTGCGGAGAGCCTTCCCAAGTTCGATTCTCCAACCTCTCCTACATAACAAAGTTGAGGCTGAACCTGGTACCATTAAATCACGTGGTTCAATGGTACACCAAAATTTTTTTTTTAATAATTTAACTCAACCATAGTTGGGTTACAGCCACCCAACACATTTTTATATCAATAATTTCGATATAAAATATTTTATAATTGGCTTCAACTCACACACTATAACATTTCAGATAAATTTTTACCTCCCACATGCCATTAGGCTAAATCACATTTGTCCATCCTTATACTCCCAACAAGTAAACTAAATCACATTTGTCCATCCTTATACTCCCAACAAGTAAAATAAGCAATTTAGTTAATTTTCAACACAAGCCAGTTATTTGGCCTTATAATCATGCCATTTTAACCAATCCAAAGTAAACCAAATATTAAAATTACAGTCATCCAAATTGTACTAAAAATAGAAATAGTTTGAAAGGCATGATTACATTTATATATTCATATAATTGACAATAAACAAAAAGCCCTAATATTGGCAATATAACACATTATAAATCATAAATTAAATACCCAAAAGAGACAGTGGATCTATACCACTAAGCCTCTGGGACTCCTCCACGTGTCACTCGTGGCTCTTCTCCTGAAAATTGTTAACCACATAATGAGACTCAAAAGTCCCAGTAACCAAAGCCAATTTATGATAGTGTATACAAACAGTTAATTGTGTGCTTACTAAGTGAGAATTAAAAATAATATAATTCCAACAAATATATGAAATATTACAATACACACAAACAACCATCCTTATATCCCTCATTAACCTCGAGCCGTAGCCCTCACTCAGTGCTAAATTACCCGGCCAAAGGTAGATTAGCCCGAGCCCTTACAAACCACCTATTGAGCTCCAATAGGGGCATACCACGTGGCACATAAATACAACAACAATAGCAAGTCTCCCAACACCTCCCACAATAATCAAATAAATTTATAATAATATTGCACAATTATATAATATTACAAAATTTATAATTTTCTCAATAATCACCCAATTAACAAGAAGTAACACTAATCACAAATTAAAAGCATGGTTACCTTGTGGCTTTTTCAATAAATTATTCCTTAAAATTTCTCTCT